CAAACCTCTTTGTTGAGTCCCTCATACTTTTGGCGATAATCTGTTTTCGATTGTTTTCGGTTAATAAGCGACTCGAACGACGAGTACAGGGAGTCGGGAGAGGCCTGAGTGGCCCTCTTCTCGACCGCAACGCTCGGGTGCTTCGCGTTCACCAGAATCTCATTAATGTCTATCGTATGCCGTCTTTCAGCTAAAGTGAACACAAATTAGACGACTATTAAAACAATTGCCAAATATATTCGCACATCAGATGTGATATCAAAATCAACATTTCATAGCAATATAGCGTACATTTCTTAAGGGCCGCTAATATTCTCTGCCTATTTGTCTGCCTTAAGACAGTGTCGTTCACTATCGGCGATGGTATCTGTGGGTGAAACCGATGATTGTATGCCACTTCCGATTGAGGGCTTACATCATCCGCAGGGGATGTCAACGACCTATCCCTGTCGTGTGGCAACTTAGGCACCGGCTTATTGCTACTGGAGCTTAAAAATAGTAGATTATTACTACTGAACGCTTTTTTTAGGCTTCCCTTAAGTGGTTTCCACGGACTTGACTTTGATTCACTCGATATGTTACTTCTGGTCTCTATATTATCGTTGATTTTGATATTGGTCTCGAAATCACTAATCACTTCATTGTCTTTGAGTTGTGTCTCTGTTTTGGTATCATTTGTCTCATCAAACGAGTCGTTGAGCTCATCACTCACTTCACCATTGAATTCACTTTTCACTTCAATCACAATCTTGTTGTCAGTATTTCTGCCCATTTGTCGCACCTCTTCCTGGCTTTGGCTCATCTCTTCGCTGATGACATCGTTGTGGACGTCTTGGAAGTCGTGCACACTTTGCACCGATTCCTCGGCGACACTCATCTCATCGGTGGTCTCCTGTGGGCTCGAGTCGTGTCTCTTCAAGAACTTGTCGACCAAAGACTTGCGTCGAGTGTTAAACGCGTCTAATTTGAATGATATACTTCTTGTGGCAAACTTTGGCATTTTGTTCATATTGTCCGACATCGAGAACTTTCTGCCGGAAGTCGACACTTTCGACTCATGCTTATCGGACTTCTGGTCGCCTTTGAGGGCACCCCTGATGTCCAGAAGGCTTTGATGCACTAAACTGTTGCGCTTTTTGCTGTGTTTAATATTTGGTATGTTTTTCACGACAAACGTGACCCTAATTTCGATCTCTCCGCGAAATTTCTGAGTCTTTTTATGCGATCGGCCCTCGAGTTCATACCACCGACTTTTGGGCCGTTCGTAGATATCAAACTCGTTTAAGGGAACTGACGTCTGGCCCAAGAACTCGTCGGCCAAACCAAAGAGATTGCGATGAAATACAATGAGTTTAATAATATCCGTCTCTTTATTCTCAATTATTCTGCAAATAATATTTGGAAATAAATTTTCTG